GGAAGGAAATTAACATTTGAGACATAGCAGAGACTAGAAAAATAAAAAAGAAATCGAAAGTTTATTCTTTGAAAAGATGCCCCAAATTAACAAGTTTATAGGGGCTGGGGTTGTGGCTCAGCGGTAGAGCACTCGCCTCTCTCATGTGAGACCCTGGGTTCAATCCTTAGCACCACATAAAAATAAATAAACAAAATAAAAATATTGTGCCCATGTACAACTAAAAATTTTTTTTTAAATTAACAAGTTTATAGTCAGATTGACCAAGATAATAAATAAAATTAGAAATGAAAGTAGGGACATTATTCCCAACCTTAATTTTAAAAAGGAATAACTGTACATCAGTTAGGATAAACTGGACAAAATGGGAAGATTCCTATGACAACAAATTACCAGGACTGATTCAAGAATTGAAAATATGAAAATACTGTAACAAATGAAGAGATTAAATCATAATCAAAAAGTTCTCAATACCAAGAGTAAATCCTAATTTGATCTATGGATTTGGGGCGATATAAAGTGTTAGTATAGGTTCATCAATTCTGATGTACGCCATGTTGGTGTGGGAAATCGGTAATGTGGGAGCCACACTGGTGTAGGAAGTTAATCAGGGAGAAGTCTGGGGGAGGGGTGCCAGAAGTATATGAGAACTCTGCCTTGTGTTCAATTTTGCTATGAACTGCTCTAAAAACTTAAGTCTGTTTAAAAAAAAAAACAACAACAAAATCACCCAATAGGTGTCTAGGACTTGAGAGTTTCGCTGGTAAATTCTACCAACCATTTAAAGAATAATTAAAACCATTTCTTATCAAGAAAAAATAGAAAAGGAACAAACAGGTAATAATGCTTCCTAATCCATTCTATGAAACCAGTATTCCCCTAATAACAAAGCCAAAGACAAGAAGGAAAGAATATTACACAACATTATTGCTTACATATGAAAAAAAAATCTTCCACAAAATACTAGCAAACCAAATGCAATACAATATTAGTTATACACCATGAACAAGTGCGATTTATTTCAAGAATTCTGTGGTAGTTCAATATGAGAAGATGAATGCAGTATTATCACAGTAAAAGAACAAAGGAGAAAAACAGGATCATCTCACTTATCACAGAAAGCGCTATGACAAAACCCAATACTCTCAAGATTAAAGAGATTCAGAAAAATAGGAAAAATGAATTTTATAAAGGGCACTTAGAGAAAACTCTCAGCTATCCTTCTACTCAATTGTTAAAGAACAAAAGCTTTCCACTTATGATCAGAAACAAGATAGGAATGCCCACTCTCACCACTGCTTGTCAATATTAAAATGAAACTTTGAGCTAGGATAATTAGAAATATATCTATAAATATAATCAAATATCCATCAATGTATGAACTTCTTTTTCAACAATCCTATACCACTCACCCTCATGATTTACCCTTATTCATTATGCAGTGTTTATGTCACTGTAGACTTTTAATTGAGAGGTGTGAATCCTCCAACTTTAGGTGAGTCAAACTTTTGGCCTATTCCCTGACCTCCAGGGAGAAGAGAGTACCTAAATGTTGAGTTGATCACCAAGGGCCAGTGATTTAATCAACCATGCTTTCATCAGGAAGCTTCCTTCCATAAACATCCAAAAGGACAGGTTTGAAGAGTTCGCCAGATCACTGAGCATATGGAAGTGAGAGAGGTGGAGCACCCAGAAAGATCTTAAAGCTTTGCTCTCCTTCCTCTATACTTTGGCTTAAGCATTTCTTTCATCTGTTATTACTGACTATAGCCTCTTAAAAAGAGATAAAACATTAAGTGTTCCCCTGTCATTACAGCAAATAACTGTGGAAACTGACCTGGAGACCTACTGCTTGGCATCTAAAGTAGGGGTTCATGAGACTGCACTCTTGATTCACGGGTCTGCATTATATCCAGGTGGTGTGAGAATGAACTGAATTATGGGACACCCAATTGGTGCATGCAGAGAACTGGAATATATGGGTTTATCTGTCTTTTTTTCTGTACAGTTGGTCTATGTGTCTGTTTTTATACCAGTACCATGCAGTTTTTGTTAGGCTAGCTCTGAGGTATAATATGGAGTCAAGTTATTGTGGTGTCTCAACCATTGCTCTTTTGGCTTAGAGCATTGGTGTTTTTATGGATTTTTTTTTTCTTCCAAATGAAATTTAGGACTATTTTTATAGTTCTATGCAGACTGTCATTGTTTTTTTTTTCATTTGTATATTTGTTTTGCTTTCTTCTTTTTTTTTTTTTAAGTACCAGGGATGTTTAACCACTGAGACACAGGCCCAGTCAACATATTTATTTTGTATTTCGAGACAGGGTTTCAACAAGTTGCTGAAGCGGGCTTTGAACTTGCAATCCTCCTGCCTTGGCCTCCTAAGCATCACCACACCAGCTGTCATTGTTATTTTGATGGGGATTGCATTGAATCTGTATACTCCTTTTGGTAGTATGACCATTTTAATAATGTTAATTCTGCCTGTTCATGAACATGGAAGGTTATTTTCTGAAGACTTCTTCAATTTCTTTTTTCATGTTCTATGATTTTCAAGAAGACAAGTTTCCCCTCCTTGGTTAGATTTATTCCTGGGTATTTTATGTATTTATTTTGTGAATGGAATTGTTTTCCTGATTTCTTAGCAGATTTATTGTTGGTATATAAGAAAGCTATTGATTTTTGTATGTTGATTTTGTTACCTTCTACTTCACCAAATTTGCTTATTAGCTCTATCAGTCTTTTGGTAGAGTTCTTTGGATCATCTAGGTGTAAGATCATACCTGCAATGATACTTTCATTTCTTCTTTTCCTATTTTTATTCCTTATATTTTCTTCTTTTGCCTAATTGCTCTGGCTAGAATTTCTAGCATTATATTAAACAGGAGTGGTGAGAGTGGATATCCTCGACTTGTTCCATATTTTAAAGGAAATGCTTTGTTTTCCCCATTTACTGTGAGGCTGGCTTTGGATTTTTCATATAATGTTGAGGTAGGTTTTCTATCCCTAGTTTCTTCAGTGTTTTTATCATGAATGGGTGCTGAATTTTGTCATAGGTCTTCTCTGAATTCATTAAAATGAATAAGTGATTGTTGTCCTTATTTCTATTTATTTATCATCAAGGATATTGTTTTCTTTCCTTGTTGTGTCCTTATCTAGTTTTGGTATGAGTGTGATAAGGCCTCATAGAATGAACTTGGAAATATTTGTCCCTTTCATAGACTAATGTTAGGAATATTGGCATTAGTTCTTCTTAAAGGTGTGGTAGAATTCAGGTGAGAATCCATCTGGTCCTGGGATTTTCTTTGTTCAAAGTCTTTTTATTACTGCTTCTATCTCATTGCTAGTTATTGGTCTGTTTAGGTTTTCTGTCCTCTTAATTCAGTTTTGGCATATCATATTTGTCTAGGAAAATATCCATCTCTTCTTGGGTTTCCAATCTATTAGAGTGTAAATTTTCAATAGTCCCCAATGATCCATTGGATTTCTGAGATATCTAGTGATTTCTCCTTTTTCATCTCTAATTTTATTAATTTGGGCCTTTTTTTTCTTTTGGCTAGTTTGACTAAGTGCTCTTATCAATCTTATTTATCTTCAAAGAACCAACTCTTGTGTTTCATTGATCCTTCGTACTATTTTTTTTATTCCCAATATCATTGATTCCAGCTCTGCCATTTATTTCCTTCCTTCTGCTAGTTTTGGGATTGGTTGTTCTTCATGGGCCTTGAACTCTCTTCTCTACCCTTCTTTCTTCTTCTCTCTCTCTCTCTCTCTCTCACACACACACACACTCACATACACACACACACAAGAAAAGAAAATGATTCTTCATAAAAATGACAAAATTGTCTCCACTACAGTAGTCCAAATAGTTGACAAGAATGGATGGTCTTGGTTATACCCAGCTGTCTGTCTGTCTGTTTCTTTTATTTATTTATTTATTTTAGTTATACATGGGCACAATATCTTGTTTATTTTTATGTGGTGCTAAGGATTGAACCCAGTGTCTCACACGTGAGAGGCGAGTGCTCTACCGCTGAGCCACAACCCCAGCCCCATCTGTTTCTTCTTGATCTGTGTCTACAGCAAGAACAGTGACAGGGGATTGTTAACCCCTTCCTCATTTTGTGCTGCTTTCTGAGCTGCCAGTTGTAGTGGCCTAACTGAAGCTAGATGAAATATTTCTCAGCGTCCTTTCTCACCAGTATGAAATAAGATGGAGTAGAATGTATCGGTGCACTCCCAGGGTAGAGTTGCTGGACTGAAGGGTATGAAGCAATCCCGATTTGTCTACAGGCTGTAAAGCGGGAATGGGTTGGCCAGCAACGCTATCAGAATCACACTCCTGTATACAAAAAATAAGCTACTCAGAAAGTCAAGAGTTATATCTTTCCTCTCATGTGGAAAATGGAGAGAAAAAAGCAAAAAATAATAATTATCATGAAAACAGAAAAGAGACCAGCAGAACAGAAGACAGTTTTGGAGGAGGGAGGAAAGGAAGAATAGGAGAGGCTGAAGAGAATGAAATTGATCAAATTATGTTCATGTACAAATATGTCACAATGAATCCCACTATTATAATGCATAATTATAATACATTATGTCATTATAATGCACCAACAAAATATTTTTTAAAAAATAAGTTACTTGGGGCTGGGGATGTAGCTCAAGTGGTAGCGTGCTCGCCTGGCATGCGTGCGGTGCGGCCCGGGTTCGATCCTCAGCACCACACACAAAACAAAAGATGTTGTGTCCGCTGAAAACTAAAAATAATAAATATTAAAATTCTCTCTCTCAAAAAAAATGTTTTTTAAAAAAAAAGAAGTTACTTCTCCTCTCTGAAATGTTCTGTTGCAAATTTGTGAACAATAGTAAGAATTAATGAAATATGTCCATTTCTTGTGTTCTTTCTAGGTAGAAGAAAGGTTAATCATTTAGATGTAGGAAAACATGAAGTTCATATGTTATTTGTTTCACAGACTAAGAGATGGCACAACACCTTTCAACACTGTAGAGAAGTTTATTTTGTTTTAATGTTACAAAAAACATATTTATTGTCAACATCACCAAAAGATAAATACCATTTCCATAATTTAGAGTATTACCAAACACAAGAGCCATAAAAAATAATATCCAAAATTTTTATGATAGCAGCTGCCAAATGAAGTATTTAATAGAAACCTTCAGCTGTAAGGATCTGTGAACCGAAAAGTTTTGGCATCTGGCATGTTATAAAAGTGGTTCTGTAGCTGTTTAGAACGTCTTGCTTCTAGTCGGAGCTGTCTAGTTCTCTCCTTCATAGTTTCTTGCTCTGCTATTTTTTCTATGCGTTTCCTTCTTAGCCATCTATAGAAAAAAGGCAAGATCATATTTGGTAATCATCCCCTTAATTCACTTTTCACATTATAAGGTTAGGAAAGTAATTATCAATTGAAATAATGTTACAACACAAACTATTAAGAGAAAAAATTCAGGCTTACACCTGAAATTCAAGAAGGCATAGTTAATTAATGAAGTCTGTCCTATAATGAAACTGCCAACAAGACTAGCTGTTAGTAATAAACAATGTTTTACAAGTGCTGTAAGTCCTACCCTTTTTAGGAATATTGCTTTCTAAGCAAAAAACTATTAGATCCCAAGGAACTTGTTCTTTGCACTTAGCTATATTCTAAAATGTTACTTATGTTAGAAATACTACTAGCTTGATTCAGAAACACTGCCTCACTTTTCTTGATAGGGAAATTATACAGCTCTTGCTGTTCAATGCATAAAATAAGTTCTTCCTTAGACTGGAAAAATAAGCCTAAGCATGAACACATCAAAACAGGTTAAGGCCTGTAATCCCAGAGACAGGAGGATCAAGAGTTCAAAGGCAGCCTCAACAACTTAGCAAGGCCCTAAGCAACTCAGTAAGATCCTGTCTCTAAATAAAGTACAAAATAGAGCTGGGGATATGACTCACTGTAAGAGAAGTTTATTTATTCCAGTGGTGGAATTACCCCCAAGTTCAATCTCCAGTACCCCCCACAAAAAACAAAAAAACAAGTTAAGGAAGAGTCTGCATCCTAAATAATCTAGTCAATAAAATAAATCTAGTGCTTTGGTCCTTAAAATCAAAACAATTACATACACATACAGCTGGTATATAAGTGTGTATGTGGCGTGTGAGCAAGCATATACATTTATACATACATATGGTTCTTTTCAGATACAAATATCTAAACAACTAAACTATTAGAATAAAATGGACTTAAGAAAAAAATCATAGTTTTCTATGAACCTGAATTGGATATGAGTTGAACAGGTTACCTCTAAGTCATTCATGTATCGCTTTGGAAAAAAAATTGTTAGGGTTGGATATTAGATAATATCATTAATAAAATAAGCAAACTGTACAACAGTACATTCACTGTGACTTAGTAATTTACAATTTCATGTAGAGAAAAATATAGAATTCTAAAACTAACAGTCATCATTTCTGTGTGAGGAATGTAAATAGCTTCTGTTTTCTCAATGCACATTTACTGTTTCTTTTATAATAAAAGATAAAAGAGAGAAAAAAGAAGAATGAAACTTCAAATAAGTGGATTCAATACTTACTAGTCCCCATTTTTCCCAAGGCTTGCTAGCAAAATTAAGAAGCTGGGTCTGTATTCTCAGAATTAATGAGGTAATGCAGTTTTACCCAGATAACTAGAAAGAAAGTAGGTTAGCCTGAAAAAAGAAAAAAAATAATAAAGCTGTGTCTTTGAACTTACTGTTTAAAAGCTCTTTCACGGCCTTCTGTTCCTTTAAGGAAGAATAAGCATTCCTCTTGTTTTCTTAGTTCTTCTGTCTTCCTTTCTTTCATCTGCTCTTCATGTTTTTTCTTAAGCCACAATCGAAAAGCTTCTTGTGGATCTCTGCTTTCCTGCTGATTATTAAACAGGGTTTAATTAATTTAGAGAAACCAAAACTACTTTCTGAGTCCCCATCTATGGGACCCTACAAGAATACATTGCCTGGTCATCCATTTTTCCCAAAAGTGTCAACCTCATTACCTGCATTCCAAGTATGCAGACCACATCACCCTTGAATTAGCAGTGCAGATTGCCCTTCTGAAGGAAATTCAACCCTGAACTCACTTGCCATCTGTTTTCTTTCAAAAGTCTTATTGAGAGGATTAGGGATATAGTTCATTGGTAGACAACTTACCTGGCATCTGTAAGCTCCTAAATTGTGTTGCAGAACAAAAAACAAAAGTTAAACCTACACACAAGGATTATAGATTAAAAGTTTTATTTTCAAAATTGATCCTTCTGTCAAAAAAATTTTGCACAGAGACATAAACATACAACAAAGAACTGAAGAAAGGCTGGGCATAGGCAGTGAATGGAATTAAGGTGTAAGGAGCTATTTTCAAAGGTGCTCAATAGAAAACTAGTTTATGCTATATGATCCAACACTGGTGCCATCTGCCCTTTTTTTTTTTTTTTTGAACTCTCAAACTTTTTTGAAGTTTTAAAAATATCTGTCAGAATGTACTTAACTGGTAAGTCCATCTTTGAAACTATAATTACTATCATGGAGGACCAGCATCAGGATATTAGCTTCAGAGAATTTTCCAAAGTTGAAAAAGCTCTTATTTAGGGGGGAAAAAAGGGAGAGGAAAGGAACATATTTGGAACTCTCTACCCTTGGGGAAAGTATGACTTACGTGGATGTCTAGCTAAAAATATAAAAGGAAATGGTACACTCATTTAATGCTTGTCTCAAATAGGACATGTGTGACAAAGAAGACCTTTTCCTCCATCTCACCTTTTCTCTTATTTGTAATCAACACTGGCAAGTATGTGCCCATCTAATTTGTAAGACTTATGTAATTCAGATCTTGGATGCACAAACTTTAGGGAGAGGACATCTGGATCTAAAGGGTGACTACTGAACAACTGGAAAGTTGGGAATAACTGGAGAGGAATCATGGATCAAGAGAGTCAAGGATTAAGGGATGGAGAGGAATGATGGGCACCCATGTTCTTTCATTTACTTGACAGATATTTATAAAATATTTACTACATGGCAGGCATATAAGTATGGAGTTTCATGAACAAAAACAAGATTCCCCCTCTTATACAGTCTGTGTCTGCTCTGTATACTACAGTAGCCACTTGTCACATGAGGCCATTTAAATTATATTTAAAGTTCATACCAAGTGTGGTAGAATACATCCATAGCCTTTTCATAGAAAAATTCTTTGCCAACTTGTCTATTAGTAGTGTTGATCCTTTTCTTTTGATATTTAGGAACTCTTTATACATTACATCAACTAGTTCTTTGAGAAATTAGCTGTATTTTTTCCCTTTTTTGCAATGCATAATTATTGATTTTATGATAGATTCATAAAGTAAGAAAAAAACCAGAATATTTTTTTTCAAAAATCATTTATAGCATAACATAAAACTTATAATCTAATCTTTGGGCAAATTTTGTTGGTGCTACTTTCAAAGTATATCCTAAATTCTGCTACCCTAATCTATGCCATTATTTTCTATTGACTAGTTTTGCTTTTAATAATTGGTTTCCCTTTTTGTACTTCGCCTTTCATACCTTACCCAATCTGTTTTCCACATAGCAGCCAGAATTATCCTTCTGAAATGTGGAATAGATTGTGTCATGGATGCTCAGAAATCACTAATGGCTTCTCATCTCAAAATAAAATCCAAAGCTCCTACCATGCCCTACAAGGTTGTACTTTACCGGACATAGGCTACTTCTCTTGACTCAATCTGCTCTTCAGCCACTTTGCTATAGCTTCACTTTGACTCTTTTGCTATTTATTGAACATACCAAACACAATCCCTTCTCAGATTCTTTGCTCTTACTGTTAACACTACTTGAAATATTTTTTTCCAGATACCCCAAAACTTCCCCCCTCTCTCTTTCTCTATAAATACACCATCCTTTCTCTTTACTTTCCCCTTTATTATGGCCTCCCTCTCCCTCTCCCCCCCCCCTCTCTCTCTCACTTTTCTGGGGAATCTGATATATCTATCATCCAATCAATCATTGATTTTTTTTCTCTTCCTATAGAATAATATGGACCAAGAGAACTTTATAAAATGATGGGCATGTTCTGTATCTGTGTTGTCCAAATACAGTAGCCTCTAGCCACATGTGGCTGTTAAGCACTCAAATATAGTCAGTGTGACTAAGGTACTGAATTTTAGATTTTTCTGTTTTATAAATAGGGTCTTTCTGCAATGTTAACAAATGGGAATGATTAAGTAAATTGTGATCTATTCACATAATGGAAGATTTGAAAACTTCCATCTACATACACATCCGTGGATAGAATTTAGGTTTATATCCACATATCACATATGTTTATATATGAATGATAATACTCCTGAAAAGAAGCACAAAACATTGCTAATTCTGGTTACTACTGGAAAAGGGGAATTTATTAGCTGGGGAAGCTGGGAGAAAGAATTCTTGGTACATTTTAACTTTTGAATTACATTGTATTGTTTGTATTATCTATTTAAAAAGCACCAACTATTTTAAAAATGTTGCTTCTAAGGGATTTTCAAAAGTTTTCATTTAAAATAATGGGAATGATAACCTCAGATTAAACAAAAAAGGGGTATAAAATGGCACAAAAATCCCAAGCCCCTCACCTTCCTGAAAGGAAATCTGAATCTCCTTTTCATTACATTAAAATTTACACTTTAAAAAAAATCTTTAAAATTATTGATGGACTTTCACTTTATTATTTTTTTATATGTGGTGCTGAGAATCAAACCCAGAGCCTCACACATGCTAGGCAACAGCTCCAGCACTGAGCCACAACCCCAGCCCTAATATTTACACTTTTAAAATGTAAAGCAAATTAAATCACAACTAAAAAAAGTCTTATCATCAATATTATATATAAGGTAATAGCAAATAACTTTCTATATTGCGGGAACTAGAAGATAAATATATTAGAAATATGAAAGCAAAGAATTATAAAGATTAAATATGAATAATAAAAATAATTACTAATGGATAAACTGATTAAGAAATAAAAGCAAAAGACCATAGAATCTGAAATTTCTACATCCAGCCATGAATGGAGTAACATCAGATTCCTTTCCACCTTAATCATCTGTAAAACCAGACAAAATATATGCAGCAGTTGTGATTATTGACAGAAATAAAAATACATGCTACAGCCTCATGTTCATCTGACTTGTTTACTCTCCTGACCACATTATAGGAAGAGAGAAATGGCATAGAGCAGTTAATGGTCTCATGGGCTCATGAAACAGAGATGGGAACTTGGGGCTTTTAGAACAGTTGAATTTCTAGGTCAGGGCATCAGGAAAAAAGGAGTCATGAAGAGGAGAGCTCAAAAAGACTATTATGGGGGTTTCTTCTTGGTTCGAGTGATGAAGATACTAGAAGTAATGGTGGAGTAGGTGCTCATAGAGAGTATATAGGTATATATACCCCACACATACAATGTATATATTACTGATCAAAGGAAATAAATTTCATTGCAGAAAAGATATTTTTAGCTATTCCTCCAAAAAATATTTTTAGCTACTTTTCCTAAAATGGCACCCAGGATCTTTCTTTCATCTGATATAGAAAAGGTCATTCTACATACAATATGCTGGAAATACATTCTGGAAATTATGACTCATATTATACATAATGCCCCTCAGCAGTAATAAACAAAATGCACTTATCACAATGTTTTAATAAGCCAAATTAATCAACTACCAAAGCTTCAGCAGGGAGGAAGTTCACTAAAATATTTCAGAAATCTCATTAAACTCAGTTTTTTAGATAGACATGCAAATGTATCAAAAAATTTTAAATATAGTAATTGCAAAGGAAAATATATAACCATGATGAATTCTTACATAAAATTATTTGAAATAAATTGTTTGATATAGCCCATGTTTTCAGAAACTGATATTCAAGGTTATGATTTCTGTTAACAAAGAGTACAAAAAAGAATACTAAAGTATACATTGATTTTTACAAATACCTAACACAAATTCTACTAGGCTGAATATTATGAGGCCTGAAGGTCCATCCTGGAAACAGTCAGCAGTTCAGTCACAGCTGTATTTTCCTCAATTAGTGATTGGGAAACACAAGTGCCTCTCGTCTTCTACACTCTTAAACCATTACAGCAGTGTGCTGTGATTCTTCCCTACCCAATTCTTACTTCCTTCCCTCCCTCATAAACTTTGCTAGATTGTTCTCTGTAACCTATTCAATGATATGAAAACTTCCAAAATCCTCTTATCCTCCTGACCCACTGAGAGGGCTCTAGCCTTAAATCCCCTATCTTATGCAAAGCCTGATTTGCCCCAAGGAACAGCCTCTTCTCTCAAATAGAACCTACAAATTTTCTGCCATACTTCCAAAGTGCATTCCTCTACTCCCTAAATAAACTAATGTTCCTTTAATACCAATGTGTTTATTAAAGCTGGTAATGTAACCACCTCTAATCACTCCTGGATCAGAAGTCTTCTCCATCCCATTTCCAAGTTTATAAAAAATATTTTTTTTAGTTGTTGGCAAACATTTATTTATTTATTTATTTATTTATTTATTTATTTATTTATTTATATGGGCGCTGACCATCCAAACTCAGGGCCTCATGTTGTTGGCAGACCTTTATTTATTTATTTATTTATTTATTTATTTATTTATTTAGGCGCTGACCATCCAAACTCAGGGCCTCACACATGCCAGACAAGCACTTTACCACTGAGCCACAACCCTAGCCCCACCACAGATTTTATTGTCTTATAACTCTCCTCTGCTCTTGTCACCCATGCCTATAGCCACATTTTCATCCCCACAAACTATCCCATTTCTGAAATTACTAGTCTCTCCACTTGTATCTTCAGTCTCAACATCTCTCCTGATCACTACATAATCTTCTCTATTTAATCTACAATATATTCACTTGAATTTTTTGTAGGTACATCAAACTCAACAATTTAAAAACTAAAATGATAATTTCCCCAAATTAGTATCCCCTACCAAACTGCTTAGAAAAAAAATGTAGTGTATTAGTATAACTTCTCCCCCAAACACATTATTTAATCAATTACCAAGTTCCTTCAATTGATACATTAAAACATACCTCAAATGCCTTTCTTTCTCTACTGCTATAACCTTAACCCAGTTGCCATCATTTCTCACCAACACAAGTACACCTGTTTTTTTGTTGTTGTTGTTGTTGTTGAACCAACAACATATGAATGTTTATTTCATTCTTACTGAAGTTTTGAGGTACAAAGGTATAGTAAAGTGTTTTCTAGGAAAGCAAAATTAGGGCTAATTTTTCAAAGGCAATCTTTCTTGACTCTATTAAGTACTCAATGCATCAAAGGGTGTTTAATAAATGGCTATATCAAGTGCATTTATAACATTCTTTTGAGAGATTATTATAAGCCATTCTCATAGGCCACAAAGAAATAAAAGAACTATGTACAGCCTGTGGGAAACAAGCAGGGACCTGAAGAGGGCCTTGGTGGGGGGTGCATTCCCAGGGGAGGATGTCCTGTACGGGGATGGAAACAATATGGTGAGACTCCACGAAAGAGCATAACAAATAAGTCTGTGGTAATATCCCTGGGTAATCGGGCCCACAACTCTGTGGAGCTATTTCCATAACTCTGTGGCCATGGGTCAAAGAAGGCCTCACATCCCTGTGGGTTCTGGGAGGTGGGTCCATCATGCCTGGAGGGGGTGTCCCGTGGCCCATAGGCGGGGAAGGACCCATCAGGACCCCTTCTACAGGTTGTTCCAAATCAACCTGTGTTACTGTCGAGCCACCTCTCCTCTCCAGCTCCTTCACTTGGTTCTCTCCTTACAATCATCTAGTCATGATGGACTGTTAACTCAGTCTTTAGCCCCTCTCTCTCTCCTTCTGACATGACTAGCGTATGAAACTGAAAGTTCCAATCCCTAATCATGCCTTAGTTTTTCTCTCACCAGCCCCATCCAGGAACCAACAAGTTACCTCATTAGAACAAAAGATACTTCTATTACTCGGGATAATTTCTAGGGGATTAAGAGTTCCCTGTCAGGAACCAGAGTCAAAGACCAAATATCAGAATAAAAGACACACCTAGCACCCCTACTGCTCATGAAATTACAAGGGTTTTAGGAGCTCTGGGCCAAAAACCATATATTGGTAGACACCAATATATCTATAATTATTTTTATTTCACAAACATGCAAATCCATACTCAGATAGAAGTATGTATATTATTATTTGATGACCAAAAGATGGTATGGTAAACATTCACTCTCACATACTGTTGGGGGGGACTATAAATTGAATAACAATTTGAAGTTAATTTACATAGCTAACCAAAAATTTCACTCTGAACATTCAAAAGTTATCATTTCTACTGTTAAAAAACTCTCCTACAGATTACAGATATTTTCCAATAGAAAGTACATCTTTACTAGAGCACTATTAATGGCATAATATTGGAACCTACCTAAACATTGACAAATGGGGAATGGTTTAATAAATTTAAGAGTGGAATACCATGTATCTCTTTGAAAAAAAGAGATCTAAATGTAATGGCCTAGAAAGATATTCATGATGAAGTGAAAATAAACTGCATAATAAAATTTTGGTCAAGTAAATAAATAAATACAAATAACATATGGGTTTGCATCACATTGTCAAAAATAGTTATCACTATGAGATGAATCTGGAAGAGCTGAAAAATGAATTTTCAATTTTTACCTTTTATTTTTTTATTTTAAAGTAGTAAAGATATGGGTTTTTATTGTTTTAACTTTCTCTTGGATTTTTTGTTTAAAATTTTTACGATTTAAATATTTCAGTGTCTCTAACTTGCTAGTTTTTACATAATATTTCTATATGTCTACTTGTCTGAGTGAAAGAGAATTTATCTGTTTCAACAGAACAGCAAAGTTATACTATCTTTAAAAAATGAATCGGTAGTTTTCTGTTTTTCTGTGCTATGAACATTTCTGTTTGTTGGTTGGTTGTTTGCTTGAGATGCTAGGGATTGAACCCAGGCCTCACAAGCCACGCAAGTGCTCTACCACTGAGCTATACCCCTAGCCAATTTATTTTCATCTTGGAAAAGGTCTTGCTGAGTTGCGCAGATTGACCTCAAACTGGTGGTCCTTCTGCTCAGCCTCCCAAATAGCTGGGATTACTGGTATGTGCCACCGCACACAACTATGAAAGTTTGAAAAAATAGGAATAATTTGATTTTTTGTTTCTTAGAACCTAACTATAAAGTCATCTCATGCTCCATCTTTTGCAGACCTCTCACTATTCTTCCATGTCTTCCATGGGTCCTTAGTCTCACATTCAGACTCCCTTCTTGTAAACAAGATTGGTTTTCACTTACTCTACTGTTCATGTCTTCAATTTGCTTTGCTCGCTGAATTCTCCTCATTTCTAGAACTTGCTCTCTTTTCTTTTGCAACCATGCTTTAAATACCATGTCATTCTCTTTTTTCTTTTCTTTCTCTTCTTCTAGTTTCCGTTGTTCTTCCTAGTAGAAAGTATGTGAAAATATATTAATAAAAAATTAATAAAATTGTATGAGTTATCATAGTGGAGAGATATATATTTTGAGATCTAAACTCAGGATTCTCTGCCCCTGAAAGATCCCTCTAAAAATTCCACCTTCTTAAAAAACAGGACCTCAAATTTTTTAGTGGGAAAAATGAAGAAATTTCACTTTAGATAAGTTAAGCTATAAAGCCTATAATTATATAATAGAGATACAATACAAAGATGATGTTTGGGAGTACTTTAGATCGCTCTTCTATACAATTTTCCATCAAATTGCAGTTATGCAAAAGGAAAAACCACACTCTAGAAGCAATATAAATGTCTTAATTTATATATTTTATATACAATTATGTGGGTATATGATAATATGTTACAGTTTATAATGTTCTACATTATTGTTAAATGTATTACTTGTGATGAATAGTATTGTGATTATGAAAGGAAATGCCATAATCATTTAGAGAAGATACCAGTAAAAAAATAAGACATGACATGCTCTCTAGATCTTGCTTTTAAAATACTTTAACCAAGGAAAGAGGAGGAGATGAATTAAATATGCCAAAATCAAAATGATTTTTGAATCTGGGTGATGAAGATAAAGAGTTAATAGTGCATGTATAGGTGTTTAATGATTAAGAACAAAGTAAATTTTTATGTGAATTATTCAGTTGATGTTATAAAAAAGGAGTTATTTAAATTTGAAGGGAGATGCTGAAATCAGTTGTGTAGAGCTATAAAACAGCAACCAAGAGCAAAACAGCAGAGCACAGAGGAAACAGCTCCACAGGGAGTCAGGCCTAGGTAATAGTTCTGTAATTCACAGCACTGGCTTGGGCAAGGTGCTGAACTTCAGCCTCCTTAGGCTTGTCTATCAAATGGAGCTGCATCAACAAGTTCTTACATCCTCTCCAGTTCTAAAATTTTATCACTTAAACAAACTGAATTATTCAAATCCATGATTAAATTATCTTTAAATAATAGAATCCAATGCGTTTTCCTTATGTTTTGTCAAAATAGCAAACTCTTCTAATTCAGATGATTCTACTGTGTTTTATTTTTTTTTTTAATTTTTGAATTTTTATTTTTTAGTTTTCGGCGGACACAACATCTTTATTTGTATGTGGTGCTGAGGATCAAACCCAGCGCTGCGCGCATGCCAGGCAAACGCGATACCGCTTGAACCACATCCCCAGCCCCTGTGTTTTATTCTTAACACTTAACAATTAAAAAATAAAGTAAGCAAAATCTCCAATACTTTGAACAATAATTTCAATTCTTGTTGCATTTATAAATCATAGAAATATACTCTATTTTCAATATAATTCCCACTTGTATTCTTACCTCTTTTTTTAGCCTTTCTCTCCTTTGTTCTAGCTGTCTTTGGAGTTCTTTCTGTCGAGGGGAAAGACAATATGTTGAGGTCACTGGAGATGTATTTGCAGACTGTGTCCGGTGATGAGATTTTCCGTTTCCTTTACTTCTGTCTGAGTTAGGAGCAAAGTTTTGACAAGTCCTAGGGTTGGGTGGTGGCTGAGGGACAAAAGCCAATGGCTCTCCTGTTGAGTGAGTGACAGCATGAATCTTTGCTGCAGGCTCTTCTTTCTTGACACTATTGATAGAGGAATTGGGAGATCTGAGTAACAACTGCTGGGGTTCATTGTCTGTACTACTAGCATTATTAATGGGGGGCAAAAAACCCTGACTCTCAATGTCTTGTAAATTCAGAAGTTCAAACTTCCCATCTCTCTCTACCAGTATCTTCCTATCTTTGTTCTCTTCACAGCTTCCATCAGTAAGTGATAGCAGCACACTTTCTGATCCTAACTCATTGGAAATGTATAACTGTGAGAGTTTTCCACACATATTTTCATTTTCAAAATAATTTTTGTACATATCATTGTCTTCTAGTGGAGGAACTTCCAAATCAACTAACTTGTCCTTAAACTTAAGTTTTCTCTCCCTTTTATAGTTCACAGGTTCTTGATTCTGCAGAATCTTGTTAGCTTGTATAATTTTCTCCATTATGTATCTCCTTACTTCCTCATCCTCTTCCTCCTCCAGATCTTTCTGGCTTTCTAGTTTGGAATCCTGGAAAGAGTTTTCACTATCTGAATCTGATACAGGGTCCAATGGCTGAATACTTGGGACAGAAATGAAATCATTTCTTCTTGGTGAAACCTCATCCTTCAAGGATTTGTCAGGATCAGAAAGCGGTTTCATGAGTTCTACTTCTGTTTCACTCTCTTTTGATTCCTCATTAGCATTCTCTTCTTTCTTGCAAACCATCTAAAAAAAGGATATGAGGTTCTATTTTTTATAAAATTGTTCATTTATTATGTGGACAAATCAAAATAGATTTTTCTCTATTTGTGAATTTTATGATTAGGAATATGTAAGGGCTTCTTATTCATATTTCACTGACAATTCTATCACCCTGTGCTCTGGATCTCATACCATTCCAGTCATGAGAACTTGGTTCAACCTTACCACTCTGGGTATCTTTACCTCTACTGGTTCTGACTATTCTTCTGTTCAAATTCATAAAACTCCCTTTAAAAACCATCTTAGGAAAATCTTCACTTTTGATTTTGTTGCCTTTTGAAAATAGTATCTACCCTATTTGTCTTCTCCATCACTAAGAAAGCAAAATGGAACCAAGAAAAGTTTGTAATATCTGCTGTTTTTATTTTCTCATGTTCTTTTCCTTAATCCCCTTAAATCGGGGTTCTTCTCTAAATACTCTGATCTTTATCCTTCTAAAATCACCTATTCATATCCCAGTCTCAGCTCTTCTCCTCATTACTTCCCACTTATTCTCACATGAACACACACACAAATACTATATAAAATACACACACTATATATTTATAAAGAGAGAGAGAAAGAACCTACATGATCCAGGAACTGGTTTATTTTCCTGCTTCATCTCTGATAAATAGTATATGACCACATTTAATGAATCTCTTTTGCCAAGAAGTATCTAATGGCCAGTCTTTGACCCTTTACTTTTTTCTGTATTTTCCTTCTTCTAAACAGCTAATTCAGTCTTAAAGTTTCAAATGTTAGCTTAAATATTATATTTTAAGGGATTTCTTTTATTTTTCATTGGCATTAGAAGTATAACCCCACAACTTCACTCCTGAAAGTAGGAATTTGACATGCTAAGCAAATGGAAATTGTATGTTCAAAGCAATAAATCATGATTTTGTTATTTAATAATGTAAATTATAACTTTATAATTATTATTTTAAGTATTATTTAATCCCGTTACCTCGTTGTTCCATGCCTTAGAATGTAACATTTAAACTATGCCTCAATTTTCTCATCTCTATAACAGGAATAATTTTATTTGTCCGAGTATATCAAAAACTTTTTGTGAGGTTTGGATGAGCTAATATGTCAAAATCTTCAAGAATCACAAAGCACTTTGTTAATGTAATTATTATGAATATTGTTGGCAATTTATACATACCTCTATTACGTTGGTATCACTTTTTTCTTTTTCATTAATTAGCCATTCCAGGTCCTTTTCAAAGTCATCTTCATATTCTCCACTGTCTTTTGAATCAGTATCTTTATTTTCATTCATTTTCTGTTTGTTAAAGAATAAATGCTATAAAATTTTTAAAAGATAAGGTATATGTAAATCTACTTTAGAGGTATAATATGGTATGGAGATTAATACTGAAGGTAAGCTAATTAAGACATATAAACACCTAACATAGAATGTCAAAATAAACATATTTGCATATACCCTAATGAGGGACTTGAAATGGCAAAACATTTCTATATGTGAACATTCCTAACAACCTTACAATTTTTGAAACACTAATCTTAGAAGGAGGTTTAAAAAGGTAGATGAGACGACTGAGGATTAGAAAAGGATTTCCATATCCCCTGCCAATCATTAAAACACCATCCAGGTCACAGCAAATGATTTTTGTTTGTTTGACCCATTTACATTTGCTCATGTTCAAATAAAAATGAGTACATCAATTTCCATCCTTTTTTTTTTTTTTTAGTTGTAGATGGACACAATACCTTTATTTTTTTTTGTGGTGCTGAGGATCACACCCAGTGCCTCACATGTGCAAGGTAAGCTGATCCACCACTGAGCTACAGCCCCAGCCCTCAGAGCTTTCTAATAAGTATCAACTAATTCTTACTATTGGTGAAGTTGATTCATAGAAGTATAAAATGTATTCTATATAAAATACATTTTCATTAAAAACTTTCATACCTTGTACTATCAAGAAGACAGTAACAGTAAATAGGACGGACTGTCAGATAATATTAAATATAAAATTATTATTCAACTGTTCAACTAGAGAATTATTATTATTTCTAAAGTATTAGTTGTACTATAATTCCTTCCAGATATTTACTTCTTTTCAACTAAAAATACAAAATGGACTTTCTTAAAGAATTCAAAAGTAAGGCTTCCATAATTTGTAAATCAGATGTTCAGGGCAATAATATTTTGACCTGGAGAAACCAATCAATATTCAGAGTAAGTTTATTTAAGACTTCCTAGCTGCAAGACCAGCTAAATCCCTTAAGCTGTGTCTACCTACCTACTAATTTAAAAAGGGCACTATGAATGATGTAGAATAAAGTAAAACTCATAATCTGAAATTTTAAAAATAGTAGTGTTTTTCACAGTCACAGTGCCTTGGGATAATCAGCTCTTTTCCAGACAAGGTATCTAAAGTTTATTAAAATGTTTAAGTGACATTACTTTTAGGTCAAAACTTCTTTGGGACTCCTTAGTGCTTTCCCTCATTTTTATAATAAACCTAGTTCTGAACTCAAAAGCAGTTTCCTGAAAACTTGGGGAGTTGTGCTTTATTATTTACAAAGAATCCTGTCCATGTGAAAACTCAGGTTTAAACTAAAACAGAAATGGTATAATTAATAAAAATACAATGATTATAAGTCAAACATATTAGGTGTTATTAAATGCTACTATTGTAACTTAAAGGGGGAAAGCATACATAGGTGAAGTAACTGAGAAATAACTGTAGCTGTATGAAATCTGAAATGTAATCCTATTTCTGTAACTCCGGTTCCTCAAGTAAACAAAGGACACAAACCATAAACTCTTGTTGCCAAGTCCCTTATTATTTTTTTTAATGCACCACAGGATATTCGACCCCTAGGATTCTTTTAATCTCCATGCCCGATACTGTCCATATGGTACACAGTCAGCATGCCAAACAGAGACGCATCGCAGGCAACCCACTGCCTGACACTTGGTTCCTTGTGGATCTCGGCCACATTTAGATTTCAGCATTTATCAACAGTAGAATCTATGTAAGTGACTTAGCCTACATTCTCTTACAGAGAAATGTAGGAAGAGACTGAAATCAACCCTCCTCCTGAGTGTCGGACAGCCCCCGCGCGGTGAGGAGCCTGAGCCTCGGAGTTGAGTGGCAGTCGGGGACTGGGACAGTCAGAGCCGTCACGAATTCACCGACTGCGGTCTTACCTCGAAGCCTTCTAAGCACGCTTGTTGAAAAGCTAAGGACTGAGAGAACGTCAAAGCGGAAGCCTTTAATGCAGAATAAATAAGTGCGGGAGCACAATACAAACAGCCCTTGGGCAGGGGTCCCCAGCTCCCGCGCCGGGACGCCTCCGGCCCTCCGCGCTGCACGGCCGAGGGGCGGGTCTCCAGAGCGGCCCGGAGCCAGCATTGCGGGCGCCTGCCTCCCAGGGACGAAGCTGGCACTTCTCGCGGTCGGAACCTGGCCGTACAGCGGTGCGAAAAAGCTCCGGGGGTCCCCGAGGCCCCCGCAGACGCCGTCCCGCTGCACTGACGCCCGCCCGCCTGGCGTCTGCCCCGCCGCCGCGGACCCGTCCCGCACCGTGCCCCACTCCTCGCCCTCCAGCCCCCTCCTGCCTGTGTGAGGCGCAGCGGCTGGGGTCACAGAGGTGGCCGCGGGAGTTCTCGCCTCCTGCTTCTGAGCTCTGACAGCGAGGCGAAAGGGACTCCAGCACCCGCTTCCGCGGCGGCCAGGAGGGGATGCCATGGCAACGGCGCGTCTCCGCGTCCTGCATCCGGGCCTCTCTGACGCCGCGGTGCGGGAGGCCCGCGCAGGCGCAGACGGCATCCCCCCCCACCGCCAGGTGCGCGTCCCAGCGCACACAAAGGACCAGCCCGCGGCCGTTTCCTAGGAGACTGCAGTCCCGCCTTGCGCCCGGAATTTCCGCGCTAGTCGCCCCTGGCAGAATGTCAGCGCTATCGGTGAATTTTCCCTCGCGTAGTAACCCGCCAGGTAATTTATAAGGACGCCTTCTGGAAGTACGTTTCCGTGTGTCATTTGCTTCACCGTTGATCTCAAAAAGCAGTTTCGTTTTTCACTGATTTTGACCCTCATTTTTTTTTCTGAATCAAAACAAAATTTTATTTACCCAAGACGTTTGACAAAGGAAATAAGATTTTTATTCCAGTTCAAGTTTATCAGAATGGTCAACTACAATTTTCTCAAATCCTCCTTTAACGTCTTTATGTATAAAAAGGAAGCAAGGCGAATTTGAGATTGTGGTGACAAATGACAGGGTTTTAGGAACTATCCATTCCCAGGCAGACATAAGAACTGAAAGTGAGGAAGTGAATTTCCTCAATACAATTTAGAAAGTTCCGATTATTTTAAAATTGTTCATTAATAGAATATCCATCACTGTGTATGACGAAAGCACACTTTTTCCAAAGAGGAGCAACATAAAATTGAATTTTTTGGTATTCTCCAAATTACAGAGTAAACTAAGTTCAAGGAAAAAAAATTCAGGTTGAAATGGATCACAATTTTTTTTTTTTTTTTTTAGTTGTAGTTGGTCACAATACCTTTTCTTCACTTTTTTTTTTTAATTTTCAGTTGTAGTTGGACACATACCTTTATTTTTTTAATTTTTTTTTTAATGTGGTGCTGAGGCTCGAACCCAGGGCCTGGCACGTGCAAGGCGATCACTCTACCTCTGAGCCACAACCCCAGCCCTGGATTACAATATTGAACGCATTTGCTGTTGTATAATTATTGAAGCCAATGTTTCTAACTGCTTCAGAACCCAGGCCAAACACTTGAAAAAGGAAAAAAAAAAAAAAAGATTAGTGTTAAAAGTTGAACAATTTTTTTTGTCTTGGTTCCTTTAGTGAATGTGGAGTTACTACCAAAGCTAGAATTAGATCCTAGGCTGCAAAATCCTAGTTTAATATTTTTCCTTTGACTACTTACCTCAGATTTGTAGATGTTTATGTAAATATTAATTGGATAAAGCAGCATTGTTTTTAATAATCAAAAAGTGGAAACAACCTGATATTCATCAAATGAAAAATGGATTAAATAAATGTGATATATCCATTTGTCACATTCACAGTGCAGTTGTGCCAGGGCAGTGGGGTAGATTGCTGGAAAGGCCAAACAAAGTGCTCAGAGATGGCACGCAACATAGGATTAATTGGAGAAAGCTTACAAGAGATCAGTGACTGCCCCAAGAAGTGTTCAGTGGTGACAGACTAAGCAGCCTCTTGTCCCTTAGAGTTTCACCAAGTAGTGCTTTGTATCTCTCAGGAACTTTTTCCAGTGTCAGCAGGCTGAACAAGTAACTGGATCCTCTCCACAGTGTCTTGGGTTCTTCACTCATCACCTGAGGGTTTTGTATGTCAGACTGCAGAAGCAGTGACATCATGAACATTAGCTTGCTTACTTTGCTTGTCTGAGCATCTTGGAGCACTTGTCCTGGAAAACATGCAAGGAAGTAGCTTTCTATGGATAACACTTAACTTGCCCTAGTTCCCAGTGTCCCTCAAGATGATTTGTATCTGGACTTTCTGACACAGACTTTCTCTTGTGTTCTTAACTTGGCTAGGATTTTGGCAACAAAAAGGGGTCATTCAGGGACATGGTGTTTTACTGTTCCCTTTTCTTTAGGGGCAGTACACCAGTAAATAGGAGTGAATTCTAGAAGAGGATTCCATGAAGATGGTGAAGTCGGTAGCACCTATCTCCTCACCTAGAAGTGGTCATAGTAGCAGAATCTCTCTCCTGTGACTATTCTGGAACTCTGAAGTCAACTAAGAACTTGCAACCTCTAAGGGAATGAAGTACTGATAGAACAATATGGATGAACCTCAATAACAAATATGATGTTATATGAAAGGAGTGAGTCAGAAAGGACCACATATTGTGTAATTTCCTTTATATAAAATATCTTGAATAGACAAATCTATAGAGACAGAAAATAGATAAGTGATTGCTTTGGGCTGAAGCAGGGGAGTTGTTGGAGGGAAATGGGTGGATGATTACTAGAAGGTGAATTGAATGGCATATGAATTATGTATCAACCAAAAAGATCTTACAAAAAATTAATGAAGAGTAGACCAATGATAACAGGAGAATTGAAAATATAAAAAAATTAATTTTCCAAAACTGATTAACATACAGTTTCTATTTCCGTTGTTTAACTTGTGAAATATTTTTTAATTTCTAAGTCTAGTTTCCTGATCTTCAAAATAGAGTATTTTTCTTTAGTATTATGTTTAGCTCAAGAGCTCATGCATGATGTATACAAAATTCTCACCAAATGGTGACTATTTTCACCAAATAGCTTTCCAAAAGATTATTTAAAAATTTATCACTGTCCTTGGAAAAGTGGATCATTCCTTCTACTAAGCTACATGTTTCCTAAAAATAGAGACTTGTTTTAGGCATTTCTGTATACTTAGCAATACAGGCATCTAAGTGTCTAAAGCATATTTATTTAGTTCACATGGCTACTAAATTAATATAGTTAATGAATTTTAAAATTAATAAACTATTTTTATGTGAAAAAGTGAATTATTCTTATTTTCCTGAATTTCCTCCTAATACTTTATCAAGAGAGTGGAAGTTATGGAAGGAATTAGCATTTTGATGGTTACAGAGAAGAGAAATTTTTTAAATGAAGCATTTTGGAAAGTGCAGAATTTTGGTAAATGAGGATGATCAGAGGTATCATGAAAGATTTATGTGAAGTGATGATGGAAGTATTGCTAATGACACACTGAAATTTTAGAATTCATCAAGTCAAGATACCCATCTCTCTATAGACACATGTCATTTGATGTCCTCTCCTTGTCCCCTTTAGCATGAGAGCCCTGAGACTGCTCAAGGGAAGAAAATTAAGGAAATGTAAGAACAAGGTGATTTAGGAAAAACCACATACATGAAGAAAAGAAAGTTGCTTGCTATTCAGGGTCTTTCATTTAGACTGGCTTTATGATTTTTAAAGTCAATAAATGGCAATTTCAGTTATAGGCAGTAGAAATGCATTTGAAATTTATGATTCATCAAAGACTGGTATTTTACAAACATAAAATCAGTGTTTATGTAAATAGCACTATACATTTTTCCTTCTATTGTTTAATACTAGTTATACTCTAAAATTGGAATGTATATAATTTAAAATAAGATCCCAGAAGCAGACACTGCCCCAATTTTCTGCATTGTTCATTCATTTTAGAAACAAATAATTGTACAATAAGAGTAGTGAAAAGTTAAGCAGATCTTTTAAAAAGTGATTTTAGTACCTTTACTTAGAAAAGCCAATATTGAACTGAGTAACAAAAAAAAAGTTGAATTGAGAAGACATAGCCATACATGTCTCCTATAAAACTGTTCCAGATAGTATATTTTACATAAACCATTCAGATTCAGCAGTCAAAATTTAAGTAACTTAGCAAATAATTGTTCAGCACTTACATGCTGGACACTATTCTATATACTTGGAATACATCAGTGAATTCATCTATCCCTTGCAAATCAGTTACCTTAACTACCCAGAATCCAATTGTAAAAAAAAAATGTGCAAAAGATTTGAAAACAATGGTATTTAAAAACTTATGAGGGCCTGGGGTTGTGTGTGTGGCTTAGTGGTAGAGCGCTTGTCTAGCATGTGTGAGGCACTGGGTTTGATCCTCAGCACTACATAAATAAGTAAACAAAGTAAAGGTATTGTGTCTATCTAGAACTTAATTTGTTAAAAAAAAAGCTTATGAGTCTTTCATACTCTTTTGGCTTAGTTTTTTCTTATTAGCTTAAATATCTGCCCAGAAATTGGAATGTGATAATTGGAAAGAAAGGGAACTAAAAGAGATGAGAAGTTTGAATTTGTCATTCAAACATCTGAATTTTGCACCTATACATTCTACCTTTGATGCTTATTCATTTACAGATCACAGGGCTTTACAACTGTGATGTATTAGAAACTGATACATTAACAATGAGATAGGTTATGAATTTAAAAAGTTGTTCAGTAATACAGGGAATATTGTTTTTTAAAAGCCAAAACAAAAGTAATTAGGGCAGTTAGAGTGTAATCATTTTCCTGTGTTCAGTAGATTTGTTCAGCACTTTTTTCATGTGCTCAGCTGTTCCGCACTATGTGCAGATCCTAGTTTAAAGGGATTCTTTGCTGTGGGGCTCTAGCTTACTCTGTAAGTGATCAGTGGGTAATAGAAGAATTTAATGGAAAGACACTAGCATGGAAAATAAACCAAATGAGTTTAGCCTTTCAATAAGCCACAACCATAATTTGCTTTTGAAATTGATGATTGTGATGTTACTTTACCTGATAATTACTCTTTGAAAATATCTACCCATCTAGCTGAACACAAATAAGTACTATCCGTTCAGCCATCCTGCAGGTCTAGCTTTTTTCAGTGCAGAATAACAGCAAAAGTTACCCTTTCTTGTTATCCATACATAAGCATTAAACATTAAAGGCAAAAAATAATTAAAGAGGGAAGCTAAACTACCAAGACTCCACAGAAGGTATACAAATAGTATTTATGACTACAAGGAGATCAACCCTGTCTTCTGTTCCTGTGCTGTGCAAAGAATACCTGACTCAGGTACATCTAACAAATGTTCTTTAGTTGGCTCTATTGCTATAAAAATGCTTTTAAATTAATAGTCCCTATATATTTATATTCACCTGTATTCTTTACTGTTAATAACATTATGGAATGAAAGTACATTTTGATTTATTGAATGAAA